ATTTTAGAGCAAGTAAAGCATAATATTAGACTATAATACTGCATGTACTACGGAGATCCAAATGCCCACGGTGTTGCAAGAGAACATTTTCCCTCAGGCATTTGAAATTTAATGCTTCTTTAATATTCTCTGTTGGATATTGTTAGAATGGAATTTCAAATATTTCCTGCAATTTGAGTTAAAGATTACTGAATAATGCTGAGCAGCAAAAAATTTTTGAAGCATACATCTAAAGCTGGCATAGTAGCTCAATGTCCTGTTGTTTCTTGCTTTAGCAAAATTAATTTCTACACTCTTCAACCACAAATTCAAGCACCACCTGGAGATTCAAACCCATCATTTAACTGTAGAGCATTTCTCGTTCCCTTGCCTAATACACTGAGGGAAGACCCTGGATGTCAGACAGCTATAAAAGGTAAAGGCCATTTCATAGCAATACCTTATCTTCTTTCAAATGAGACAGAATGCAACTTGAAAATCATTATCTGGTCTATTACTGTAAATAAATGGGATTACCTGTGATGAAATGAATATACGTGGTTTTGCCCATATTAAGAGTATAGACTGGAAGACTACCATCTGTCCACTAGAGCTCCAAATCTTCAAAAGGCTTTCATTCAATTAAGATCCAACTTCTTCAGCATCTATATGTTAGTGAACCATACTAGTGAACCACCATACTACTAAAGAACTAAAGACAGACTGCAAATTAAACCTAAAAAAAATGAAGCACAGCTGTATCATTCTAGAAACAAACCAGGAAAAAAAAACCTAACCAGAATCACAATTCTCTTTGCTTGATTACTTCACAGGGAAACTTCCTTTACTCAGTGATGCAGCTGCTTTCTTTTCCATCATTTGCATCCAAATTACAAGCACAGGATGCTCCTGATTTGTTCCAGAGCCACGGATCCCTTACTCCTACCAAGCAGATGCTGACTTGCTCTTTGGTTCCCCTCTATGTCAAGGCTTTCAATTCCTCTCAAAATGGCCCAGAATGCTGCTTCAGAAAGTACAACTACTGTGACTTCACATGAAATGCTTCCTCCACATCTTCCCAGACTTTCCCTTCTGTAAGGAATTGATTTAAAAAAAGAAAATTAACTTTAAAAACTCTACATTGTAAGCCATGGTTTTCACTCCTCAGGTATTTTTATTGATATTGTAGATAATAATTCAATTCTTAAGGGAAATACAATCCGTATAGCAGGAGCTATTGACAAGTTCCTCCTGTGCAAATACAGAAACAAATAAAAAGTGACATTGTAAAACAACCTGAAATGTTTTAAGTAAGTTCTATAGGAAACTAACCTCTCTCTTCTCATTGCATTTAAAACATAAACACTTCACTAGACTTTATAAAACAAGTAGTAATTGAATGAAAAAGCTATTGTATAATACCGATAGTTTTGAGATATTTGTTAAAAAAATAATTCAATTAGTCAAATGCTTTCAACTAGCACATCCAGTTATTGGTTTTACTGAACTATGAAAACAGGCTGGTATAACGTTCTTTTGAATTTCTCAAAAACAGCAGTGCTATGGATATGCCTTGGAAACGGACCTCAAACACAAACAATTTCATAGCACTCCAAAAATCGTATGAACCAAAGAAATGCACTGCAAAGGACATTCTTTTCCCCTCCTTCCCTTTACCATCTCCAAGAGGTCTGTGAAAACCTCTACCACCTCAACTCTACTACTATGGGAAGTACCACCTAATTAACTCAAGCTACAAAGCTTGACAACAAACAACCTCTCCCACGTACTGACTTCAGTCAGTAGAAAAACCATACTGTTGTACAGGTGTAAAAGTGTCTGTTTAATGAAGAAAAATACCAAATTCTATTAAAGGAGTGAAACTAGGAAGACTTCCTCATATACCAGGAATGCCATTCTCCTGTTCAAAACAATTTAGAAATTCAACTTTACTGAACATACAGCAAAGATACTGAAGTCATTCCATGTGTTTGCTGTTATTTTGCTCTCACATGGACTCTGTACTTGGAAGAAGTGAGAGCAGAAAATTCTCTGAAAATGGGTCACAGATAGCAGATGACAACAGATCTCTTTGTTTCTCAGCTTTACCTGCAACAGAGTAGTTATTACTAAGCCTCTGTACTAATGCAGCCCCAAGTCAGTGAAGAAGCCCTGCAAGAGCAAACACACCTGAGCTGCACTCCAAGCTCCAGAGGCCTGCGTGCATCACACCAAGTGCATCAGATCTACCCACACACAGACCACCAGAGGAGGCTTACACAGTTGGAGCAATCTTTGCCAAATGAGTAACAGGTGTTTGTACTATTAGCATAGAAATGAGCAGCAAAAAAGAGAAATCTGGTTACATTTTTAATTAAGATTTGATTTTTTGGTAGTTCATGAAGATTACTAGTAGCTGTTATAAGTGTGCTATGCATCACGTGGTTCTTCAAAGTAGGCATATTGATACATGACATCCCACCCACCTACTAAAATATTAGGGGCTTTCTAAATTCAATTAATGAATAATCAATTGCCTCTAATTACATAAAAACATACCTGAGCTACTAAAAAAACAGAAATGAAGCCATATCTCTGAAACAGATTCTATAGACAGAAAGCAAAACTTCTATTTGAGAACATTTTCTGAACTACAGCAAAATAATTAATAATAAAAATCAGGGTTATTAGCAGAAGGTCTAGATATACCAGTTTCTTCATAACATTTAACACCTATGCAGGATCACATAGCTGAAGTTTAGAAATAAACACTAAAAAATTAGATCTGGCCATTAGAGTAGGAAATATATTTAAAAAGTCCTGTATAAAAACCATCAGCACTTCATGCACTTACCTACCTACCTTCATTTTCTAGGCTACGATTCTTATTGTTCTTTCTTATATCTACAACTTTATCCTGTTTTAAACTCTTGCAGATTCGATGTCATCTTAAAAACTGACTTCTGATCCTCTCAATCTCAAGCCTTCTCAATAGGCTTCAAGAAGTGCTCAAATTCTACTATTGTTTCTGGGATTTAAACCAGCAATTATATAGTTGTGCTTTTTTTTTTTAATTTATTTTTACAAGTAAACATTGTAAATTGTAAACATTTCAGGAATTACTTTCGCTCGAGATATATTTTCTGTATAAAAATTGTAAGCAAGTGCATTTAGAAAGAAAACCTGTCTTTTACATGGAGAGGATAAAAAAACCTCCACAAATCATTGAAAATTGCGTGTAAAAACTTACCAAAAATAATTTAGCAATTTCTATAGATAGCCATGAAGAAAAGCTAACCCAAACTATAGTTACAGAACACTGCCAGCTATTAAAAGAGAATTCATTTTAAATTAAAATTTAAAAAAGCCACACAACAGAAAACAGGAATTATTCTGGCAGAGTACACTTCAAAACTACTAGGTGCCTTGAAAAATAACATTTAATCATCACAAAATAGAGATCAAAACAGTTTGAGTATTAATTGTGTTGTTCAGTTACACCCATTTGCATGTTACTTCGTTTTAGTGAATGCAAGATCTGTAAATTGCATTTCAATTAATATTTGAATGCCTCATCTGCGTGCACACTGAAGTTCATTACTTCTTTTGCACTTAATTTGTTTCTACTTCTGCAGCTTTTTGGCTTAACGCTCTACACAAAAGACATGCACTAATAAAACATGTGAGATTCATTAAAGAATATTTAAAAAAAAATGACACCAACACCTCACTACCCCAGAAATAGTGGCAACTGAAGATGTAAAATAGCAAGAATATTCTGAGACGATAAAAAAAACCCACAAGGAAATCTGAAGACTGTGAAAAAATTGACAGGAAAAAGAGCATTAAATTTAGAGTGAATTTCTCTGGAACTTTGAACAGGTGTTAAGGCTAATAAATCAGAAAAATAACACAGATACAGCACATGCCTTGAGGGTAAAAGAGAGCACAGATTTAGGACGCAGAAACTCAAACAGTTTACGTTGTTCATAGATCCCCACAGCGCCAACAATCTGAAGACAGTGATATGATTTAACAGTGTTAGGAATACAACTGAGGACCAACACATGCTGCCAAGAACACCAGAAGAATTTCTATCCAGAAGCAGAAGATTTATTTTAAAAGCTAATAAACGCCAGGAAAAGGAGATGTAAAAAAAGACATGGAGAAAAGAAAGCATTTCTCATTTCTCTTGCTTAGTTTTGTATAGTTACATTTTGCTTGGAAGACAAAGTTTTAACAAACAGAAACACTATTTAAGCCCAGAAAAAAGAATCACAGAACTATTAAGTTTTGTTAACTTGAAAAACTTCAATGTTGCCTTCAGTTAAAACATCACAAAAGGCAGTGCAGTCTTAAACCAATGTTACTCCATCTGGCACTAATGATACCAGGAACATATTTAAAATAAAGTGACAAACATTCACTACAAATCAGTTTCAACATTAGGTATGTTATCTCCAGCAACAAACTAAGCAGCACAAACTTGGACAGAAAAGGATGGAGAATGAAAACAGAGCCTTACCCACAGAAGAAACTTCGACTAGCTTAACTGAAATCCATTAAACCAATATAAACCTGCTACGCTGGCAGACAAATCAGTTTATAGCACGCTTATATTGGTTTTGCTGAAAACTGATAAGCACTCAACTTAAAGATAACTGATAATGCTTAGTGAAAAAACATCTCATGCGGGCCCATATCAGCTTTTGGGTAAATGTAGAACTTAAATAAAATTAATTAAGTCCAATGCAAAAAAAAAAAAGGTCAGAGTTACTGGTATAAAGCATCTTAGCATGCTCTGGAACGGTCTGCCTGGACAACAAGCTCCCTGGCACTGATGAGGCACCTCTCACAGCAAGGCAGACCTCTGCTTTCATTTGCAGCCGTTTGGCTTTAAATTCATCCCCAGACCAGAACTTAGGTCCAATCTTCATTCACAGCACGAGCGTAGCGCTGTTAAGCAGTATAAATCAGCATTGAGCAGTACGAGGTCGAGAACAAACTCAGCAGAACGATACCTTTTGAACCCTGACACCGCTGCTTCCGATACTTCAGGAGCTGTCAGAGGGTCGGTCGATCAAACCACGGGAAGCCTGGAATTGGGGCACAAGGACGATTAGCAACAAGGCTCGTACAGTGAGAACGCTCTGCGTGCCGCGTGGTCGTGCTTATGCTTAACACCACTGCCCCAAAGGAGGAACTGATTTCTGACTGAGGAACTGACAGAAGTCAGCCTACGTGCTGCCCAAGGTGTTAAAAAAAAAAAAAAATCACCTGTAAGGGGCTAAACAGGATTAAAAGCTAATCCTGCTGAAAAGTGTCGGGGCACGCGAGCCTTCGGCACAGGCTGAGCTAAATTACAGGATTTGTTCTGTGAGGAACCTCGTCAAGGCCTGAGGAAGAAAACACCACACGGTGCGGTTAAGCCAGCAGCTCACTGACAGAGCTGCCCACAGGACAACCAGAGGCCGCCCCTGAGAGGAGTGTATCAGAGCACAGAGAGCCAGCCAGGCAGGAAGGCAGGGGAAGGCCGGGGCAAGCGGGCCTGAGGAGCGCGGCCGTGCCGAGGCCCTCAGCAGCACTGTGCAGCCGACAGGGCCTGAAGAGATGGAGGGAATCCCGCGTGTCACCCGCACGCCGTTCCCGCTGCAGCGTCGCCTAGCAACCACCGCAGCACCGCTACCTGCGCACGCGCAGCAGCCCCGTATTCTCGCGACGCGCGACGTCCCCTTCCTTCCTCTGCAGCCGGCGATGACGCCTCCCCTCGCGCGCATGCGCACAATTGGCTCCTCTTGAGTGCCCTCTACCTGACGCACGCGCAAGGCAAAGAGCCAACATTGCCCTAACCTCAATCTTCCCGGAGCGCATGCGCAGCTCTCGGAGCAGCTCATCGCCCCCCAGTGGGGGCGGACGGGATCAATGAACGGGCCGTAGGGGCGGAGCGCCGGGAAAACGGCGCCAATAGCGTGCGGGGGCCTGGCGTGCGTGCCCCGAGGCACTCTGGGACCTGTAGTTCGGCCCCCGCCACAACAATACAGGGCGACGCGACTCGCGACTACAGTCCCCATGCAGCTGCGCGCTGCGACGCGCCCCGCCCCTCCGCGGTGCCTTAGCGCGACGCCGCCGGCGGTCGCAGTCGCGCCGTAGAGGTGACCTCGAGGCTGCTGCTCGGCCCGCCGCTCCCAGCCATGGTCGGTACCGTTCGACGCGGCGCCGGCGGTCGTGGGCCGCGGGAGGTGGTTGGGGGAGGGGGCTGGGGCTCGGGGCTCCCTCGGGCGGAGGCGATCTCGAAATGGCGGCGGTTCCCCTGGGCTCCCTGCGGCGCGGAGCCCTTCCCGCCGCGCCCGTCCTGCCGAGCGCTGCGGCTGTCCTCGAGACGTGAAGGAGAAGCGCCGCAGGCTCGGAAACGAGCGGCCCCGTTCGTCGCCGTAAGGGCGGCTGTTCGCCCCGGGCTCCCGGGTCGTTGGGGACACGCTGCGGCTCTGCCCAGAGGCCTTGTTTGCCCCTTTAACAGGCAGCTTCGTTACTCACATCTTCGCTTTCCTATATATCTATTAAAAGTCTCTGCATGCCCTAAAATGACTTATTTTTCCAGCACCTTTCAAGAAGTACCCCAAGTCTGCAAAACCTCATCAATGCTGCTTCTCATCTCACGTTTCTGTTCAAAATGTGGCGGCTCCTGAGAGCCCACAAGACACAGCATCTCATTTTGCACGTGAGCTTTCCAAACTGGTTGCCATGAACCTGCTGGTCGCACTGGAAGCATTTGTTTAAAGCTCCATTTTGATGCTCAGACTCATTAGAACATCATTGTTTTCATCCTTTCATTCCCCCAGTGTTCTATCTACATATTTGCTGTCAGCATTGAACTTCTGAAACAGAATCCTGCGTCTACTGATGCAACTGCTGTTAGCTGAATGACGTGGAAAAAGTTAGCGGGGGCACCTGGCTGAAGGTCACTGCTGAAGGAAAGAATTCCCTTGGAGTTCTGCCCCCTTCCTGCTGATGCACTCTGCCACATTCCCAGATACATCTGCTGTCAGTGCCCTCTGCTCCTTCAGGGGAATAAAGGGAAGGTTTCATAGAATGGCCTGGGTTGAAAAGGACCTTAAAGATCATCTAGTTTCAACCCCCCTGCTATGCACAGGGTCATCAACCACTAGACCAGAGCCACATCCAGCCTGGCCTTGATTTTAGGCTCCAAACTTCTGAGGACACTGTGACTAGTTAGCTTCACTGATATGCTCCAAGTATTGTCAGGCATGGTGGGATAGCTTGGTTGGCTTTGTTGGTCAGGAATAACACTGATAGCAACTTGGCAGACAGCAAGTAGCTGCAATATTGCTTAATCTGGTCTTTAATAACTAATCAGTAATTCAAAGCTCATCACTTGCGTAAGCAGGCTACAGATTTTTCTCATTCCTACATCTAGTAGATGATGGGTTAACACTGCTTTTTAACTGAATTTCATAACCTCCTGATATGTTTTGCCATGTAGTACTATTATCATTTGCAGCACTGATATTTTAAGTCTGCTGATACCAGCAGTAATCACAAAAGTCAGTTAGACACTAAGTTCCTGAGTCCCAGCTGGGGACTGGAACCATTAAACCCATTAGTTCCTCATTTTATGGCAGAATATTTACCTTTAATCGGTGATAATCTAAGGGGGTGGGAATGCAACATGTTTATTGAATGAGGACAAACATCAGAGGTCACAGCATTCACACTTCTTTTTCCCATTATCTTTACTGCTCTTTATTTCTTGAAACTTTTTAACCATGTATCTGACATACTCAGAGTAGAAAAGGCTTGGGAATTAAATGCTCAGTTACTTTTTTCCTACTTCAAATACACCCGAGTAAATGAAGGTCACCTCTGCAGTTACTAAAGCATGACACTGTTCTCATTGAAGCCCTGTGCACAAGCCAAGTCACAGATTAAAGTGCCTGAATATGAATGTGTGTGCACCTGCAACTCCCTCACTGCAGGGACACTGTTAGCTTGGGAGCTACACGCTTCTCCAAACTCCCTTCCTCAGCTGCTCAAGGATAACAGTGCTTATAAGTGATATGACATAAGCTTGCTAGGGAGAGTTAGCTACCTTCTGCTTTTGTAAGAAGCAAAAGAGTTTCAGTGTTTTGATCAACTTCTGGAGTCAAGAGATGAGAATCCTGATCCAGAGATTGTAGAATCAAAGAGAAGAGAATCCAATTACTGCTCAGTTGCTGATGATAGGTGGGAAGCTTTGGGTTGAGTATAATGTAGTGAAGGCTTGGAGAGAGAGAAAACTAACTAGGCAATGCTGCTTAGTTTTTGTTAGCTGCTGCATTTCTTCCAGGCCAAAATGGAGAGAGGAACACAGAGGGACAGCAGTAAACAAACATTTTTTGAGAGGGTGGAGGTGAGTCAGACTGAGGGCTTTTTTTTTTAAGCAAGGGTAAGTGTTGAGGCTATTTTAGTACAAAAAAATAACCTACTTCTTGCCTTTTTTTTTTTTTTTTTTAAATCTCCTGTTCCTTTCCTATCCTGTTGCTGGGCTAAATACTTACTAGTGAATACAATGGAGCTTTTTTGTTTGGATCACACTAACACACAAAACATAAAGCATACAGTTTAAGAAGTTTGCTGAATTTTGTCTCCGTTTTGTGACGCAACTGTAGATAGGATCTTTCTCCTTAGCAACTTGTGAGCCCAACATCTTAAAATCATCTACAACAGCAAAAATTCTGCAGCACCAAATTTATAATGGAGTCAGGCTACCACAAAGCTCAAAGCAAATGCATTCTCTGATTAGAGTAAGAGCAGAAGCAAAGCTGCTTCTGACAAGTCATTTGCAATACCAGGCAAAATATTACAGGGAATACCAATAGTCATATAAAGGAAAAAAGTTGACTCACCCAGCTGGTGATGAAGGACTCCAGTTGTAGAATATTCCTCACTAAGCAGCCTTCATCTAAGAGACCTTCTTTCCCTTGAGGCCAGCCCTTAAATGAGCCAAGGGCTGGACCCTGCATCCAACTCCCTTCCAGTCACGTGGAAAGCACTGGAAGATTGTTTGCACCTGTGCTTCCTGGGCCAGGCATACCCCGTCACCAGGTGCTCAATCATCAGTTCAGGCCATGAGCTGACAGCTCCATTACACATCCCTTGCAGGATGGCTTCTTCTGTAGCTCCTGATACGGTATTTTACCAGGCCAAGTTTCTGCAGTACAGTAATTTTCCAGTACTTAACAAAATGCTAAGATTAGCAGCCTTAAAACAGTATTCATTGTTCCATTTCCTAAATAAAAAGTAGATTTTCCTTCAAAACACACTGAAGTTGGTTCTTAGACCTGGTATGCTTCTGAGTCTGCGTTGCCTATCATCATTCAGACACTGTAGCACATTTGTAGCATATAACTTCCAAAACAATACATTGGAACTAGTTTTGAGAGTTAAAATGGGAAGAATTGATTGTCTCCTCTCCTTCTTGTTCCTCAGTTTTTATGAGGTTTGTGGGATGAGACTCGCAGTAAGATAGGTTCAAATGAACACAGTGCAGCTCAACACCATAACTGGCAGCTAATTAACCAAACAGTTAAAGAGTATTAGGAATAATAAAGGCAAAATCACGTTGAATTCTAACTCTGCATATTCAATAGATTAACTTTATCACTTGTGCTCTCATTTTATCTAGTGCAGTGTAGGGACAGCTCCTACGAAGCCTAATTTTTATGATCATCTCATGTTAGTTTGATGCAGCTGTGCTTGGCTGGTGACTATGGCAGAGAGTATGCAATCAAATCATAATCACAGACTCATAGTATCATAGACTGTCCTGGGTTGAAAAGGACCACAATGGTCATCTGGTTTCAACCCCCCTGCTATGTGCAGGGTGGCCAACCACCAGACCAGGCTGCCCAGAGCCACATCCAGCCTGACCTTGAATGCCTCCAGGGATGGGGCATCCACAGCCTCCTTGGGCAACCTGTTCCAATGCATCATAGCAGGAATGTTGGTTGGAAAGACCTCCTGGTCTGACCTCTGCCTTGCTCTTGAGTCTGGAGGTTGTCTGATCCAGCCAAATAGAAAGTCTTTTGCTCCTTCCAAGTGAGGTCATGCATGTTATTGTTTTTTTGTTTTGTTTTGTTTTGTTTTGTTTTTTTTATCTGGATCTTAAAAACCATTAAGGGAGAAGGGTGCACAAATTCTCTGTGTACCTGGTTCCAGTGAAGCAGTACAACCCTAGTTGAGAATTCTCCTAACGTCCATGCTCAGCCTCCCGAGCCATGATCTGTGTCCCACTCCGCCATCTAAGAAGTGTTCAGCAGCAATATTTTTGTAGCCCTCCTTGAAGCATTAGCAGGCTGCTGTTGGGGCACCCTCTGTTCTCTACCTTTCCAGACTACGCCCAGCTTCCTCATCCTCATCTTACAGGACACGCACACAGGGCTGCAGCCACCCATGTCATCTTGCCTGGATCCTTTCAGCATCACTTGAAACTCAGGATCCCAAAGCTGGATCTGTATTTCAGCTCCAACCTCTTTGATGCTGAGCAAAACAACCACCTTTGGTCCGCAAGCTCTGCTTTGTAGTGGAGCTCTGTATGCAATTAAATTACTTCTGACATAATTGAATGTTGTGTTTTGTCCATAACTGAAATGATAATCTTTTAATTAATTGTAAAAGTG